ATGTCACAATATCCCACTTATATTGAAAAGTTTGGAAATTGTGATGTTGATTGTGTTTTTAGATCGATGAAGTGTTGTACATGTTTTTTATTTGTTTTACACTTGTGGATAGTCCTACTTTGAGCACTGCCATGATGCGAGTGGTATAAGTACATGTTTGTTAGAACACAAATGTTTGTAGAATGTCTATAACATTAGATGTGGGAGTTGGATGAGTGCATGTTTTTTTGTTCTCAAATGTCCATAGAATGTGTAAAATTGGATGTGGGAGTAGTGGTATGTTTTTGTGTACTATTGAGATTTTGTCTCACTTCTCATTATCAAAATTTATTTTGTGCTTTTGGAAGGACCAAACTGACAAGATTGCAACATAACAGACAACTTTTCATAAGTGCTCATAAATACACACACATGCTAAATTGTCAATTGTCAAGCTTATTAAATGTGACTGTATACGAACTGAGAAATTTATAGCTACCACAACACATTCTTAATGTAATTAAAGAAAAAGGTTAAGAATTTGAACGGAATAATGGGAACTAACTGGTTGTAAACTGACTATCTGATAACTTTAAACAACTATTCACAATCCATCATATATCTACAATACACCGGCATACATCTGTCTTTTCCATACATCTTTTGTTTGTTTGACATTTAATGACATCTAAATTGATCATCTATAAATGAAAGCGAACAACAATTAAGTAGCCAACACTTACTTCGGCCACAACACATTCTTAATTAGGGATGGTTCTGTATGGGATCCCAAACCGAAAACGGGATCGTGAATCTCAAACCAAAAAATTTCGGGACGGGAATTTGAAAATCCCGAAGTGAAATTTCAGTATTCCCAATTTTCGGTATTTTAGGATGAATCGAGACTAGATTTTGGGTTTTGGACTTTAGGCTGAAATTTGAGATTTTTGGATTGTGGGTTAAAATTGGGCTTTTGGCTTGAGATTTTGTGGGCTTATTTCATATCAATTGAAATTTAGGTTTTTCACCTCATACCAATTGAAATACAAATTCATTCATATCAAGTCAAATTGACGTTCCAAAGTTCCAAACTACTTGATTTCATTCTTCTATTTCTAATATAGTCTACTATCAAATTACTTAAATTCAACATTCAACATGCATGCAACCTAAATAAATATATATGTTTTCAGTTTGGTTCAGGATTTCCGAACCATTGAATATATATTCTCGATTCCTGTACCAACAGGTTTGTGATCGATTTGGTATGGATCTCGAAAATTTCAGTAATATCGGTTTAGGAAATTTTCGGTATGGGATTGAGAATTTTTTGGTTTGGTTTGGGATTTTCGGGAAAATTTTCCAGCCCCATTCTTAATGTAGTTAAAGGAAAAGATTAAGGATTTGTACAGACTAATAGGAACCATGTGACAACCCGTCTTGAATTTTACGGAATGGAAGGATATTCTTGGTAAATTCTTTTGGGTTGTGGGATATTTGGTTTAAAATGTTGTTTTTAGGGCCTTAATAGGTGTGCCCATGGGGCCCACCTTTGGATTTTGTCCTCCTGACCCATTCTTCTTTCTTTCTCTCTCTCTATCTCTTTCTTCCTCACTTCCTTTCTTTTTCTCAACTCTCCTGTGTTTTCTCTCTCTCGGATCCCTAAGCCCTCTCCCTTCCTCGAGGACCAGTACACACCTATTCCACACCTACAACAGGCAACCACAAGCTCATCAAAACGCTTGGCAACGACAGAACCACCATTTTCCCTGACAACGTAACTTGGGACTAGAGGAACCTAGTTTTTCCGGCGAGTTCGACGGATTTCAAGCTGATTTTCGGCCAACTCCGGCCACTAATTAGGAAACCAAAGGTTCCATTCTCTTCATCTCATCAAGTACTACAACTTTGGTTTTTGAATCACTTGATTTCGTTGAGTATTGAAGAAGTTATAACCTTTTAAAGTTTACTTAGTTTCCGGTGACCTCTGCCACTTTCGAGGCGATTTCCAGCCAAATCAAGATGAGCTAGCCATTGTGCAAGGTACCATTCTCTTCGTCTCGTTGAGTACTACAACTTTCGTTTTTGGATCACTTGATTTGGTTGAGTAACGAAGAAGTTATGGGTGTTTGAAGTGGTCCCCAGAAACTGCCCAATTCATTGGCCTGAAAACGGGTCAGCCTTACCCAAGTCGTTTGAACCCAGACCAAAACCCTCGGGCCTTTTAGCCTAACCCAATCCATTTCTGTGGGCTAGGCTTTAAGCTAATAACCCAAAAACCCAAACCCCATTTAGACCTAACCCAATCCAACCCAAACCCTTTGACCCGGCCCGTGACCCGACCCGATTGACCTGGTTGAACCGACCCGCTAACCTGGACCTGTTAACCTGGTATGACCGTTGACTTTGACCGATTAATGTTGACTTTTTTAGGTTTTGGTTAGGACCCCTCCTAGGCTAATTTCAGCGTTCTAGATCCATTTATGACGTTTGTTTTCCCAAAATCAATCGTTTGAATATAGTTTTATTAATTGGACCCTTATGTGCTTAGGTGCATTTATTGTGGCGTTTCTATCTTCGCTAGTTTGCTTGGCTTTTCGACAGTGAAGTATATGTGAGTGGACCCCTTCTAAAATGCATGTTTTAATAGTAGAAATGCAACATGAAAAACATGATTTTAATGATTACGTTTTATGAAACATTTTATGAGATATTATGCTTACTGAGAATATTTTGGAATACCATATTTTATCGAAATGATGTTCTTTGTAGTATATATGATGGATGACTATATACTATTTATGAACATGCTTTTGCACACTTCTTTGTAGTATATATGATGATGACTATATGCTATGAAGATGTTTTGAGATATATGTATCTATGTTTGGAAAGACTATGTTCAATGATTTTGTGCATATCTAGTGGTCACTGTTCTGCCTACGGGCGAGGGAGATATATGGCTTAGGGAGACATATGTAGATGGGTTCGGGCTGAGAGATATATGTACTGGCTTCGGGCCCAGAGATACTGATACTGATACCACTAGTTAGCACATTACATACAAGATATGTTTCATGAAAGGTTTTATAGCATGCTAGGGTTTTCGAAAAACCTATTACATATTATACTATTGAGTTTTCATAAAACTTTGGGGGTTAGTATGATAACTATTTCAGTATTATATATATATATATATCAACTTGGTCCACTTATATTTGTTTTGCGCCCCCTCAAGACTTAGAATCGAGGCGTACAATCTCAGTGACAATGTACTTCCGCATCGGCATCTTCGAGTCCTCTTGGTGTAAGACCCATCCTTTTATTTGTTCAATTTTATATTATTTCTTTTCTAGTGTATAAAATTAGTTGTATGCTCTGAACACGTTCCTCATTTGCATATTCATTGTATTTAAATTCATAACTTTTATTTACGTTCGTTACTTCTCATGCATGTTAGTATGGCTTTGTCACCTTCAGGTGTCGGCCAGCACGTGCCTACCCTAGTGTTCGGGGAATATCAGGGTCGGGCGTGTCAAACCAACTAGTTGTAAACTGACTATCTAATAACTTTACACAACTATTCACAAGCCACCATATACCTACAATAGACCGTCATGTATCCGTCATTTCCGTACATTTTTTGTTGATGTGACATTTAATGAAATCTCAATTGATCATCTATAAATGGAAGCCAAGGACAATTCAGTATCCAACACTTACTTCTTCCACAACCATGGCAACTATAGATGTGATGGCTCTGTCAGGGAGTGATGCATATTCTGATGATTCGACCAATCAAATTGCATAAGCGAAGATCGAATTTTGTGCAAACTCACGATCCATCATTCCGTGGCATCAAAAGTGCATCAAACAGGAATCCACCTTGGTTGCGTTACTACAATAGTTGAACGAGGCGTTGTACAAAGCGGACAAATACAAACGCCAAATACATAGTCGAAAGTATAAGTATGATGAACTAATTCTAAAAAAGGAGGAAGATGTACGTCGTATGTCAATCACTCCATCAGCAATGAAGCAGCTCTAACAAGAGTGTGACTTCACCTTTTATGATGGGTTTGAGAAATTTCATTCGCATCTTCATCGTAACTGTAAGGGATATGATTGGGACTATATTTTGACCTTGCACGTGGATGACATCGTCAAAGATGGTCGATGACCTTGTGCGAGAAACATGAGTACATAAAGGCGGCTCACAAAAGCACCCAAGGATCCTTAGGTTGAAATTTGCCTTCTTATACATTTATGACTTGTTATCCTGTACATTTTTCGTACTTTTTTAACTATATCGTAATTTTAAACTTCAGTAAATAACTCAAGTGTTATTTTCATAAACCTTCATAATGACACACATAAACATTCTAAAACAACCAACTATGGCCACAACAAAATAATAATTCATTCCCCTGGAAACTTAACACTTCTTGTATAAAAAATGACTCACGACAAATTACTTTTCAAACCCTGCTTAATGGGTCATTCAATATATATTCGTTAAAATCGTCTAGTACTCCCATATTTCCAACGGTCATATGACTGTTACTATTTTGGGTTAGGATTGAATTACGCACAGGGCCACCATCTTCATTTGCCTTAGTAATGTCACCGGTAGCGGTGCTTAGTGTGGCATGTGTGTGTTCTTCGGATTTGGTTGGGTAATACCTAGACAATTACAAAACAACCCAAGGTTGTTTTAAATATTACTACCACTTATATATTGTGAGGCAAAGCGTAAAGGGACAATTAATTTTGTTGCGTATATACTACCCAACCAATAAACACCTAACTCATGACAAATTGAGTCCAAAATGTGGAATTTGAATCCTCGTCGAATCTTCTTTGTTGAGGATCTCGGGGATTCGCGAATCGTGTTCATTCATCATATATCGTGCGGTCAAAAATTATTTTAAATATTTTTATTTAAAATTAAACACAAACAGTACCTAACAAAAACTGACTACACGATGTACAATAAACGTACATGATTCACGGATCTTCAGGATCCTCACCAAAAGAATCCAAAGAGGATCATGTTGGCAAAATGTGTACATGGCCACATAAGAAAACACTGTTGGCAATATATCTATGGGTCGTTTCCAATCAAGGAAAGGGATCATCTTGAGATCCCTTCCTCTTAATCCACAAAATTAGGAAATTTATGCCGTTGAAAATTGATCCAACGGTTGAAGTTATTATAACTTTTAAAGTGAGTCCCTATTTGTAGCCGTTTAATTAAATTTTAATGGTACAAATCCCGTGATTTAATGAATTAGGAGAACGGGATCTAGAGAGGTTCCTCTCCTCCAATCAAAACGAGAAGCAGTGCCAATTGTGCAAGGCGGTGACAAAAAGCGTCAGGTGAAAATCTTTACCGCACATTTGCCCAAAATGTCAAAATTCACAGTTTTCCATTTCCCTCCCCAATGCACCTAAAACGTAAATATTTATATAAAAAGAAAAAAAAGAAAGAAAAAAAAAATGAAGAACACACGGTTGGCAAAGGCGAAGAAGGACAGGAGAGAAGAGAAAGCTCCTTCAAGTCAAGAGGGGGTCTTCGATTTTTCTGCGTTTCAGAAAAAAAGAAAAACCCACAGATTCTCTGTCTCATCAAATCATCCTCAATCGAGTCTTCACCAATTAGCTCTCAGCCTAAGGTACGCAAAATTTCCGATTTTCTTTTTTATTTCTTATGGATTTGATTCCAGCTGAATTCCGATTCTCAATGTAATAGAATCCGTAGATCCTTTTCTTGATTGCATTTCCGTTCATAGTTCGATTGAATTAATTCAATATTGTGAATTGCATGATTTCCCTGTCTTAGATTTGATTGAGTTGTGTGTACAAGTACAAGAGCGGATTTCTAAGCAGCGAGAAGAAGAAGAAGCTTCAATTGTGAAATGTTGGGGACCCAGTAGGGTTTTTCCCTTGATTCCATTCCGTTCGATTCATTCTTTTTTATCTCAATTTTGGACTCTGGGTTTTGGGAGGTTTTTGTTCATCAAAGGCCTCCTATCAGTTCATTCTTTTTTTCGAAATCTTTTGGGTTTCAATAAGATCCTTGTGTGAACCTACTTATCACACTGTTTCTTATCGTCCTTCAGTTCAATTTATATGAATAACTCGTTCAGTTTGCCTTCCAACTCGAAGCCCTCGCTTTCTACAACTGGGTTTCGACATAATTTATTTCTACTTTGCCATTATAAATTTTGATTCCCAATCCCGGATTCTTGAGCTTCTTTTGTTTTCTATAGAGAGATTTCAAAATTTTTGATGTCAAATCCACCGCAGCCTCCCATTGGATACTCTGTCAGTATCACTCCCTCACGCCCAGACACACCATCTCCTGACCCTGAGAAAATTTCTATTCCTCCACCACCTTTAATTGCTCCGAGATTCCCTCCACCGAAGTTTCAACAGGATCAAACTACTTCTCCATCCATCAAAACCCCAAATGTACCATCACCAGCTAATGGGTTGAAAACTGGCAGCCCTATTCCTCATTTGAGTACACCCCCTGGACCTCCTGTTTTTACTTCCCCTGTGCGTCCTGCTGCTGTGCCTTTTCGTGCTTCACCTGCAACTCCTCAGCCAGTTGCTTTCACCCCGGGCACATTTTTGCCAACATCTTCGCCTCCCAATTTTTCGAATGGCTCGCATGAACTACATCACCAACTTTCTAATGATACAGAGGATGATGCTGTGCCTGTTGGAGAATCACCATATGTCCTATTCTCAGCTCATAAGGTATCTATCTTGTTCTCTTGGTTTTCAACCTTTATGGTTGTACAATTTGTTTGTACATATGTAACTTTGGGTTGATTTTTTTTACTTTTTTAGAACTTATAGCTGCCTCTATATTTCTTTAACTACACACTTTACGTAAGAACATGTTAGATTTCGTTTTTGGTTGATATATATACACTTTAAGTAACCACACACTTTATACACACACACACACACACACACACACACACATTCTATTATGTTTGTAAGAAAGTATGTTTCCTAGATAGTTAAAAATTTAATTGAACCTCTTGCCCACGCATGTTGTTATATAGGTGTTGAAACAAAAGAAACAAGCAAATGTACCCAGTTTGGGTTTTGGGGCCTTGGTTTCACCTGGAACTGGAAGGGGAATTTCACCTGGTCCCCAGATAATACAACGTGATCCTCATCGCTGCCACAGCTGTGGAGCTTATGCAAATATTTTTTGCAACATCTTATTGGGCTCAGGTCAGTGGCAATGTGTAATTTGCCGAGAACTGAATGGAAGTGAGGGAGAATACATAGTTCCTGGCAAGGAAGATCTTTGTAATTTTCCAGAGTTGTCATCTCCTATGGTTGATTATGTTCAAACTGGGAACAATAGACCTGGCTTTGTTCTTCTTTCTGACTCAAGAATGTCTGCACCTATAGTTCTTGTCATAGATGAGTGTTTAGACGAATCACATCTGTGGGACTTACAGAGCTCCTTGCATGCATTTGTTGATTCACTTCCCCCGACAACAAGAATTGGAATAATACTGTATGGTCGCACAGTATCAGTCTATGACTTTTCAGAGGAATCAATTGCCTCTGCTGATGTGCTTCCAGGAGATAAATCACCAAGTCAGGATGCCTTGAAAGCATTGATATATGGAACTGGTATATACTTGTCTCCAATGCATGCTTCCTTACCAGTAGCACATGCCATATTCTCATCATTGAGGCCATACAAAATGAAAACTCCGGAAACTTCTAGAGATCGGTGCCTGGGGACGGCAGTTGAGGTTGCTCTTGCTATAGTTCAAGGGCCATCAGGAGAAATGTCTCGAGGGGTAATTAAAAGGTCTGGAGGTAATAGCAGAGTCATTGTTTGTGCTGGTGGGCCTAATACATATGGTCCTGGATCTGTTCCCCATTCTTTCAGTCACCCAAATTATCCTCATATGGAAAAGACTGCATTGAAATGGATGGAGCATCTGGGTCAAGAGGCACACCGACAAAATACAGTGGTTGACATTTTGTGCGCTGGGCAATGCCCTGTAAGAGTTCCTGTTTTGCAGCCTCTTGCAAAAGCTTCTGGAGGCATTTTTGTTCTCCATGACGACTTTGGGGAAGCCTTTGGTGTGAACTTACAAAGGGCATCTACCAGGGCTGCAGGCTCCCGTGGGTTCTTGGCAATACGCTGTTCCGATGACATTCTCATAACTCAAGTTGTGGGTCCCGGTGAAGAGGCACATATTGACACTCATGAAACCTTCAAAAATGACACTTCTCTTTACATACAAATGCTTAGTGTTGAAGAGACACAGAGCTTCTCACTCTCCTTGGAAAATAAGAGGGACGTTAGGACTGAGTATGTGTATTTCCAGTTTACAATTCAGTATTTAAATGTGTATCAAGCTGATATATCAAGAGTAATTACTGTTAGATTGCCAACAGTTGATAGTGTTTCAGCATATCTTGCAAGTGTGCAAGATGAAGTTGCAGCCGTTCTTATTGCAAAAAGGACTCTCTTGCGAGCTAAAAACTTTTCAGATGCAATTGATATGCGAGGAACAATAGATGAAAGAATTAAAGAGATTGCTCTGAAATTTGGGTCTCAAGTACCAAAGTCAAAGCTTTATCGGTTTCCAAAAGAGATCCCTTTATTGCCAGAGCTCCTGTTTCATCTAAGAAGGGGCCCACTGCTGGGAAGCATTGTTGGCCATGAAGATGAGAGATCTGTAATACGAAACTTGTTTCTGAATGCATCCTTTGATCTCTCACTCCGAATGGTAGCACCTCGTTGTTTAATGCATCGGGAAGGGGGAACATTTGAGGAACTACCAGCTTATGACCTTGCTATGCAGTCAGATGCCGCAGTTCTTCTTGATCATGGCACAGATGTCTTCATTTGGTTGGTATGTGCTTTGGTTCCTACATTTGTCAATTTTTATTTATTCTAAACGTTGCATGCCATCTATCTTGCCAGAAGGGGCATAACCTTGTCATTTCTGACATTGATTGGACTTAAATTGAAAAGCATTTAAGACTTGCTATTGTTGTCCCCCAAAAAAATCAGAAATACTATTCCTGCCTCTGATGTATGAAGTTTTATATGTGTAAGTGCAGAATCTAAATGGAATCACTTGAAGTGACCGTTGTAGTATCACTATTCACAGTTCTGGAATTTTCTCTCGTAATCATTTTTTCACTCATTAGAAAATCTTGATGTATAATCTGGAGGCTCGGATGCCTATTAAGGAGCAGAACTTCACTTGGTTTCTTCCCCCTGGAAATGATAGTACTTGTGATATGCTCTAGGGAAGAAGAACTATGCATGTTTATCTCTAGTTCTCTTTATTGTCATTCTTTATGTAAAGGTAATGATGATAATATTCATCATATTTTCTTTCCAGTGCTCTTTCACTGAGTTATTGCAATTGTTATAAGTGATGGGGGTTCGGTCTAGAAACTGCCACTTGTTTTTGGTTAAGGATTTTTTTGGGAAAGCTGATAAGAAGATGATTACCCTTGTGGTGATCTGCATTCATGGTTGTTTCTTGGACTGTGCTAGAGAGAAATAGCAGAATCTTTCAAGACTAGAGAGAGGAAGTGTCACCCATCAAACCTATTTGCACAGGCTTTTATTAAAAACTTTACTTAAATGTTTATCCTCACATAAAATTACTGAAGGGGCAATTTAAACAAAAAACCTCAATTATCGATGGTGATGATGTGTATGATTGTAAGATTTCCATGATTTTGTAACAGTTATCCACAGTGATGAAGTGGATATCGTGAGTGATTCTAGCAGATTTCATCAGTTGATGAAGTGGATGATACTCTTTGGATTGGATGCTTCGAAGAGTAATATAGTGATTTACTACATGTTGATAATGGTGTGACTATTGTGACAACCTTAAAATTCATGTCTGGGCTTAAGCATGGGTTAACAGAAGCCTCTAGAAATATAGGGAAATGCCAGATTTTTAAGCATTATTAACTTGAGTTTTAGAGTTAGGCTCAGCAGAGGAAGGTGGATGGAAATGGTAATATAGGAATTAAGAGGGGGTGAAATGAGTGGATTAGGATCTTGCAGAAACAAAATTGATAGGGGTGAGTATTGGTGGTGGTGGTAACATCGTCAATGTCGTTATAAACCTGAATACCAAAGCTTTTTAGGGATGTTCCTTGTTTCAATTAATTCTTTATTGGGTAGGAGTTAGCTTTTGAAGCTCCATAGCAAATCCTATTGCACAAAACTAATTTATAATCATTGAAACAATAACTGTATAAAATATGGTTGTGCTGAGCTCTTGAGCAGTCTACAAATTCATATGATAACATCCACAAGCAGGAAACGGAGTATTACTTAGAGCAGTCTCTGGTGTTAAACTCAAAGTTTGGTTTCTCTTTGTTGCTCAAGTTTTTCTCCGTTCAGAAATATCATTGATTTTTTCATCTCTTATTGTTTCTATATCTTTTAGTTGAACAGATTTCTTTTGAATGGTGTATTCAGGGTGCTGAACTGGCTGCTGATGAAGGAAAAAGTGCAGCTGCTTTAGCGGCTTGCAGAACATTAGCTGAAGAGCTCACTGAACTGAGATTTCCAGCTCCTCGGATCCTGTCGTTCAAGGTTATTCCTTTGTATATTCTTTCATTGTTCTGTACTCTGTAGTAGCATTCCCTTTGCGCTTTGTAATGTCTAGATATGAAGATGAACCTAATGGTCTGGTTGTTAAACAGGAAGGAAGTTCTCAGGCTCGATATTTTGTATCGCGGCTCATACCTGCACACAAGGATCCTCCTTATGAGCAGGTGAGAGTGAAGACAATAAACATTGGCGAACATGGCTAATTGTCTTTGTAATCCTAAACGGTTTCCTATTTACTTTGGTATCATTCTGTTTATGTTGGTGTGAATGACATATCGAATTGTTGCATATACTGCAGGAGGCAAGATTCCCACAGCTACGAACATTGAGAACAGAAGAGCGGACGAAGCTGAAAAACAGTTTTA